ATCTGCAACCTGGGCGCCTGGGTGGCTCAGTTGGTTAAGCGACTGCCTTCAGCTCAGGTCATGATCCTGGAGTCCCTGGATCGAGTCCCGCATCGGGCTCCCTACTCGGCAGGGAATCTGCTTCTCCGTCTGACCCTCTTCCCTCTCGTGCTGTCTCTCATTCTCTCTCTCAAATAAATAAATAAAATCTTAAAAAAAAAAAATTTCATCTGCAACCTTACTTCTCCTTTGCCATGTGACTTAACACATTCTCAGGTTCCAGGCATTAGGAAGTGAACTACTTTAGGGGGGCATTAATCTGCCAATAACAGAAATTGGCAAATGCTACAAATCAAGACTCTTCTTCCCAGAAAGCTGGTTGTTAAACATTTACCAGCACACCATTGCTACAAGTAATCATGAGGGAACATCAGACGAAACCCTTATAAGAATTATAGGATTAAAGCAATTTGTAGAATTCTAACAAAGTTGCTTTGTACCTTAAGATGTTTATATACACTAGATAGCTGGGAAGGATAAATTACTCTCTGAACAGTTTAAAACAAATTAAGTTTGCGAAGTATCTTCCTTAGGATGAATTAATATGGAGTCTAAAAATCTTGTGTAGCATTAGCTGGTAAGGAACAAACAGGAAAATGTTATTATAAAGTACATAAGCTGTTACCTTTTAAGATTAAAAAAAAAAAACAACAGCAGGGAAGAGACTTAAAGATTTTTTTAGATGCTATTTGTCATTCATATAACATCAAAGGAATTCTTCCAGCATCAGGCATGGATTAACTCATTATCATTTTCAACTAGAAGAAATGACCTGAATATCAAGATTTTAATTCACTGAGTCATAAGGCAAACCAGAGAAGGTGGAACATTATTATGTCATGCTATGTGGGTAGGCAATGCTTTAGCAAACCTAATTGAGAAACATAAATCACACCACTTCTTAAGTCTTACAGCTCTGGTATAAAAGGTAGTCCACATTGTCCACATGTTAAAATCAATGATATTTATAATAGAGGATCTTTTGATCAAATTGTTGGTAGTTGGATAAGCTTTTATAAAGTGTTATATAATATGGCTTTTAGAAGTTTCTCATTAAAGTTTCTCATGGAAGGAGAGGGAGAAATAAACTCCAGAGTTTATCATTACAATAGCTTGTAACTTAAGTAATGCTTATCCTGCCAGGAAATAGACTAAACTTCTTACGTATATTATCTTATTTAATTCTAAAAACAACGCTATAAGACAAGTCTAGAGGGTTCAGAGAATGAACTCTTAGGTCAAATTCCTTGGATTCAAATCCTGGCTCCACCACTTCCTAATCATGTTTGACCTTGGGCATATTTTTATGTCTTGGTTTCCTTATTTGTCAAAAAAAGGGTGGGGAGAAGTAAAGAGTCTGCCATACAATGTTGTAATTAGTAATAAATGAACACATGTAAGGAGCTTAGTGTGGTGCCTAGCTGAATAATGTTATCTATTATTATTAGTTCCATCCTGTTAGAAGATGCCCTCTTATAACCCTTTCTTGGTTTCATTACGGTCTACATAACCAAGTGGAGATTTCCTCCAAAAATGAATTCCACCAACCATCCCAGAGGAAAGGGACAAACCGGTACAATGGGAAATGTTAAAGGGTAGTAAATGTACATATAATTAATATGTATATTTTTCATTATTGCATTTAATATTCATTAACATACATGGTCTGTTTTGCTTAACGGTAACTGTTATTTGTTAAAATAATGACATTCTTGAATGCCGTATTTGAGCATTTTTGAAAAAGTGGTTACAAAATAGTATCTAACATATCCTCTACACCACAAAAAAACAAGCCTTAGATACATATTTTCTGTGAATCTATTTTAACTGTGCTGAGCATGCATTGCTTTTACAACTGGAAACAAAAAGGAAACAAAAGAAAATGTATAGTTTTGGCAAGGACTATGGTACTGGGGACTCAAGGACTTTTTTTTTTTTTAATAAAAAAGAGATCTATCTGGTTTTGTGCCTATACTTTTCTTTTTTTCATTCAGATTCATCTTGATTGTAGTTTGTGAAAGAAAATAACCTTCAAACTCCAGAACAGTAGATACTATTTTAGTACAAACATAATGTTCTAGTTGAAAATTTTAAAAACTTACTAAAAATTATCAACTGGGAAAAAAATTATCAACTGGGGGCAGTGATGAGAGAGCATAGCTTAGAGTTCTATTGTAAAAGGTGTTTCAGCATCTCCAATTCTGATTGACTGCCTCCATTAAGAGTCACCTGTACCGACTTAAGACTGGATACTCTGTTCTAAATGCTTAATGAACTGGCCCTTTATTTAAGTATTCATTTAACAAGTATTTACTGAACACCAATTATGTGCTAGGTACCATTGCAGGTGTTATGGATACAACAATCGGACAAAAAATACTTGTCTTCATGGAGCTTAACTTTTAGTGAGGGGAGATACTTCAAACAAAATAAGTAAGCTAATTACATATTAGGACAGTAATAAATATGGGAAAAAAATAGTGATGATGGTGAAGCAGGGTGCAAAATTTGGGACAGGGAAGGCCTCATTGAAAAAGGTAACACTGGAAAAAGACTAGAAAAAGTGAGAGAGCAAGCCATGCCAATATTTGGGGAAGAGAATTCTAAACCAGATATCAAATCCCTGAGGCAGGAAATATGCATTGAGGTGGAAAATCGAGGAAATCCACTTGGTGGAGGTGTGTTAGCAAAGTAGAAAATAATAGAAAGTAGAGTCAGAAAGTTGAAATATCTGGCTTTTGAACAAAATGGAAAGATGTTAGTGGGCTTTGAGCAAAAGAATGTCATATTCTGACATACATTAAAGATCATTTAGGTTGCTGTGTTGAGAACCATAGACAGGGAAATTAGTTGAGAGGTTAAATAACTGACGTTAGCTGACAATGGCTTAGGACCATGGTGACAGGGGAGAGAATTATTTGTTGAAAACAGTGAGATTCTGGGTATATTTTGAAGGTTAGAGCAAACATGACTTACTGATATATTGGGGTATTGAAAAAAAAAGGTTAGGGACACCTGGGTGGCTCAGTCATTAAGCGTCTGCCTTCGGCTCAGGTCATGGTCCCAAGGGTCCTGGGATCAAGTCCCACATCAGGCTCCCTGCTCAGCAGGAAGCCTGCTTCTCCCTCTCCCCCTGCTTGTGTTCCCTGTCTCTGTCAAATAAATAAAACCTTAAAAAACAAAAAAA